AAGATGATGACGGACTTGGGAGTCCATAATAACTTAACCTAACTTAAGTTAAGTCTAACTTACACGACTGCATAAGATAATCAGAATTTTGGTGCGATAGTGTGATGACATTAATGTCAACACTGTTAAAAAATTGTAGCAAAAGTTTTAATAAATTTGCCGTGATTGCGCAAGACGACGATGACGTTTCTGTGACCATGAGGGTCGATGATGATGTCTACACAGCCGCAGGAGATAATCAGAATCTAATTTAGCCGCCGTTGTGGGAGACGATGTTAAGTTAATGTCCTGGACATAACTGTGAGAGATGTTCATGTTATTGCAGAGATTGTGGGAGAGGTTGATGATTTCTACAGGAGACGACAAGGTAATTAGGCTATGTCGACCTCCAGTCAATGCCCTGAAAAATAAGTTTCTATTTTTAAACTTTGTTTTTTAGCGCTGATTCCAAAAATGATAGTATATTTTTTGCGGGAAAGTAAGTTACCGTTTTTCTCGAAAAGCGGAAAAAAACAATTTTATAGCCCAAAATCCATGTTTCGGGTACTCTAAGTAATTGTGCGGAATTCCATGACTAAGGTTGCACTTAAGTTTACGTCCTATATTTACGACAACTAAGAAACCTCGCAAAAGCCCACTTTTTTGCCCTGAAGTCAAGTTGTGAGTAGGCTAACTTAGGCTACTCAAATTGTGTGGAATTTCATGATGAATTTAAAGGTGCATTTTCTATTACGCTCCAACAACTAGGCTAATAACCTCCAAAAAGCCCGCGAAATGTTAGGTTAGGTTTTAGTTAACCTAAAAACCTAAACTAACCAAACCTAACCACAAAATGTTAGGTTAGGTTAGTTTAGGTTATTTGGTTAACTAAAACCTAACCTTAAATTCTGTGGGCTTTTGCGAGGTTACAGTATTAGTTGTAGGATCGTAATGATTGATGCACCGTTGAATTCGTCGTAAAATCCCGCAAAAATTGAGTTGGCCTACCAACATGACTTTTTTGTAAAAAGTATTTGTTGCCGATATCGGTTTTTTTCGCAAAAAATGACCATCATATTTTAAATCAAAGCCAAATTAAAAAAAATTATTTAGAGCTTTGAATGTGTTGACATAATTAACGACGACAATGAATCCTGGAGAAGGTACAGTAAACCCTCTCATATCCGGACTAATGTGGCGCCGGCCGATCCGGATAACAAAAAATCCGGATATGAGAGAAACATTGTTTTAGATGAGAAAACAGCTGTACAACAACTACGGTACTCAATTTTAGTTAGCCTTAAATACGGAAACGTTTGTTTATTAAATAAAACAACGGTATTTTGGTTATAATAACACTTTAATACAACATCAAAACTCAAAAAATATTACGTAATACAGTACAGTACAGTGAAAGAAATGAAATAAAACTAAGAAAAACACTTTAATATAACATCAAAACTCAAAAAATATTACGTAATAGTAACGGTACAGTGAAAAAATTAAATGGAACTAAGAAAAAGACAAGTAGGCCTACTGTAATGAACAAAAATGCAGAGCTGTATACAGAGTAAAATAAAATTAATCCACGAGAACAGCTGTTACTTTGTACTCACACTTAAGTTTTGGACAAAAACGATGTTATTGTGGCTTGTTTGGCTCGATTAACACGCTTCTTTGACGTAATGTCTCTCCACCTACGAAAAAGCAGAAGATCGGCTCCCGTTGCTTCCTCTTGTTTCTCGACATACTCGATCAGCTGTTCGATGGCCTGGAAAGCCTCACTATGCGTCATGGTTGTTTTCTGGACTTCTTCTTCTTCGTCGTCGTCAGGAGCGGGGTCTGCGTTAACTAAGTCTATGATGTCATTGTCAGTAAACTCCTGGATTTCGTCTTCCTTCATCCACTCACTCACTGCGTCACTGTCACTGTGTCACTGTGTTGTCACAACCAGGAACGTTTCTAAAAAGTTGAACGATTTCTTCACCTGTTTTGTCATTGCAGTTTTCTGTTTCTTTTCCTACTTCTTTGTTATAACCTTGGTCTACTTTGTGGTCTAAAAGCTTTTTCCACGATTTAACCAACGTTATCGGTTTGAGCTCTTCCCAAGCGCTAGAAATCCACAAGGCAACATCTAGCATGTCAGTGTCTTTAAGGCACTCAGAAACACTCTTTCCCACATCCATGCCCTCAATAATGATCGTCAGTAGCTTACATCGATACAAACGTTTAAGTGTTTCAAGGACCCCCTGATCCATTGGCTGGCACAAAGAGGTTACGTTCGGCGGCAAAAACACGCATTTTATTTCTCCACTTGTTAGTTCATCTGTAGACGGGTGTGAAGGGGCGTTGTCAAGCAATAAAATAGCCTTCTTTGGCAAATTGTTTTTTTCAGCAAACTTTTCAACAGACGGGACGAACTGATTGTTAAACCACTCTCTGAAGATCGCAGAATTCATCCAAGCGCTTTTTTGTCCTCTGTACCACACCAGTAATGTCGACTGATCTTTGAAGTTTTTAAACGCTCTTGAATTATTTGATTTTCCAATCATGCAGAGTTTGAGTTTATTGTTTCCTGTGACGTTGCTGCAGGCCATTATTGTAACCCTCTCCTTTTTCTTCTTATAACCTGGAGCGCTATTTTTTTCCTTGGAAGCAAGAGTGCAGCTAGGTAGCATTTTAAAGTTCAGACCACTTTCGTCACAGTTGTATAACTGATCCCCGCTGATTCCTTCCTCGTCAAGCAGCTTGTGTAAAAACATTTTAAACTCTCCCACAGCGTTTTCATTTGCTGACAACTTTTCTCCGCTTATATGATTGAAGCTTTCTGACCCCATATTGATTCTTCCACTTTTCCAACCACCCCTCACTGGCTTTGGAATTGGGATCACTTCCGATTTCCTTATTAAATTGGAGAGCCTTTTCCTGCAAAATGGGTCCAGACACGGGCAGTCCTTTTGATCTACAGTAGACTCCCTCTTATCCGGACTCCTCGGGACTGAGGCCAGTCCGGATAACGGGTTTTCCGGTTAAACCGACGTCCCCAAAAACTCGTTAAAACAGACTGTTTACCGTGATATTCGACTTAAATTTAGGAGAGCATCGTATTTAGACATGAGATCACTGGTCTCAAATCTTTCCCACAAGAACAGTCGTTTCAGTACTGCCCACTTCCTGCCGATATAGTCCGGTTAAACCAATGTGCTGATAAAAATTGTCCGGTTAAAGAGATCTCATTTCCACCGAGTGTAGTCCGGTTAAACCGATGTCCGGTTAAAAGGTGTCCGGATAAGAGGGAGTCTACTGTACATTGTGTGAACCACAAAAATAACGCTTCGTTCACTTTGTCATTCACGGCTGTTTTCATCATTTTGCACTTTTTTATTCCTGAACTTGATGCCTGGTTAGAACACCATTTTTCTATTTTTTCCAGTCACTCACTGTACTAGTCCCCACTCCCATCTCACTCGCTTTTTTTTTTGCACTTTCGCCCGCTTGCAAACGTTTCAACGCGTTAAGTTTGTCCTCCATCGTAATGACAATATTTTTTTTCTTTTTTCGGCCATAACAACTTATTCGCCTCTAGCACTCTTCCTTCCCGAAACTAAAACGAACCGTACAAACAAAGACTAGGTCACTGAGGCACAAAAAAAGCAGCACTGACAACTGACACAAGTGATGAATTGTCGTCGCCGCGCATGAGTAGGGCGTTGGTGTGGGTAGGAGGGGTGGGGGAGGGATTCTATTTTTGTTTCGTGAGTCAGTGACCTTGCCCGCGAGACTGCACGTCGCTCAACCCTCCCGGCGCGCCAGCGTTTCCAACCGGCCTACAAACAGCGACTGCTCGGTCAACAAACATTCGCCCTAGAGAGTGTTTTTTAATTTTTGCATTTTTTCAAAATCGCGTCCGGATATGGGAGATCCGGATAAGAGAGGGTTTACTGTAATTTGAATTTAGACGCTTTTGTGTAAGATGATGATAATGTCCACATGACAATGGAAGGTATTTGTGATACAACACGTTGCAAGGGAGTTGTTGATAACGTTTCTGTGACCGCTGTTGTGGATGATGGTGATTTTGTTGATATTAAGGATTTTGCCGTGACCACAAACACAGTGTGATGATTTTATTGTGACTGAGGAAGATATTCCGGAGATTGCAGTGATCCCAGGAGTGGATGATGTCTACGCAACTGCAGATGATCACTCTATTAAGTTAGGCCTACCTCTAAATTAATTTAGGTCTAGATAATAAAATGTGGTTTTTTATTTTTTTTTTTTCGTTACATCCTCATTTACCATTGGCAAACTTAGTTAGGCTATTCAATGTGTTAAGCAGGGTTTTAAAAAACCCAAATTGGCTAGGCTAGATAGAACCTTTGGTACTTTACGGTGGCCACATAGGCTACTTTGCAGCGCGCTGCGGCCGTTAAGTTAGGTTGGGTTATCATAAATATGTTGGTAGGAATTTCCTCCTTTAGGAATTTCCACCAAAGTACCAACTTTTTTATTGCTGCATTAAATTAATTTGATCTCTATCTTAAAAACACCCCGTTATCTCCAAAATACTTTGACCTATTGGCAGGGTTGGTGTAGTTTAACAAATTTATTTAGAACATTGTTCAAACTAAAAAAAAATGGTATCGGTAATGAGAATGGATTTTACAGGTAGGCCCTATCGAAAATCGATATCCTACAATTTTGTATTGTCACATCACTAATTGTTAAAAAAACTAAGTAGTCTTGAAAAGTCTGGAATCTGTATTGAATTTGAAAATGGAAACAAACTAAACACCCTGCTCTGTTTTTTGGGCAAATTTAATTGGTACGGTAGTTAGAGATCTTGCAGGAAACCAAAAGTTAAGGCTAGGTTAAGAAGTCAATAACAATCAACAGCCTAACGCACAGTGAATCGTAAAAGTAGGCCCAACTGTTTTCTTTCAGTCTCTTAAGAGGAAATCAAGTTATTAATACACGTATATAGTTTACCTTGCTTGACTAAGAGAATGATGTTGTTGCAGATTTTATGACAAGCGTGATGCTGAAGACGCGCTTGACGCCATGGATGGTCGCTTGTTGGATGGGAGGGAGTTGAGAGTCCAGATGGCTCGCTACGGCCGACCTTCGTCTCCATACAGGCGTGGCAGCAGACGCAGCCGAAGGTTATCTTACTTTTAATTTATTATTGGCATTAATTTTAACAAAACAGATAGGCTAATGTTAGGGGATCAAGTTGATGGAGTGGGACATACTGAATTGAATTCATGTTTGGTAAGTGGCATAGGCCTACTGTAGAAGATCCACTAGCCTACCAATTAAATCATTAAAATATGTTTCGATGATTATAAATCTTATCAAGTGACTATAAATGATGAAAAAGTAGTGCATCTGATTGTAAATGATTAATACAAAAAAAAAAAAAAATGCAAGGCATCTTTTAAATTATTAGTCAAGGTTTACCTGGTTATTTTATCAAGGTTTAAAGGTATCGTACTGTAATTTGGTAACATTTAAAATTAGTAATTTAATATAGTACCTACTTGGGTATTTTTTTTATTTTTCTCATAGGGTCTAGTATTTTTTTTTTTTTTTTTTTTAGATGCCAACTTGCATTTACTGATATAGTCACTTAATTTACTTAGGCTATTTGCAAAATATTTGTATGAATAACAAATTCTTAAAACCATTTAACTCATCCTACATTTGATGGTGTCTTACTGGCCTACATAGGCCTACACTTATTTATGATTCCAAATATCACTTAAGAGGAACATCCGGTAACTACAAATTAGGTAATACATTTCTTTACACATTTTCATAACACTAGATACCGGTACACTACATATCTGCCATTATTTAGGAAAATGCAATTTTTTTATTACAACATCTTAGAACCCAACTTATTTATGTTTACTTATGTTTTCTTAAAAATATTTTTAAAATTCTAATTATCATCACCCATAAGATAAAACATGGGAAACACCAGAACTACTGGGCCGGAGACCTAAATGAATTTGAGATTAGATAGGCCTAAATGTTCATGATGGTTATGAGGTATCATCATGCCAAATTTCAGCCCAATTCGAGAAGTACCTAGTTAATGTGCGATTGAGACCCTTACAGACAAACTAACTTTCAGCCTAATAATTTATATACCTATATTAAAATATATAGATATGATAGACAATGAATTTAGCCTAAGGAACTTGTTTATGATATTCACTTCTGACCTCAGGCCTAACATCAATTATGATAACCTTGCTTACAATTGGGTTAGAAACTGATTGTTGGGAGGATAACCTAGGGCGGTCTGAGATGTGTAAACAACTGATAGACAAAATTTCTGGGGTTTATAATTTTGTGTGTTTAAGGTTATTTTTTTTATTACTGTGTTTAAATGTAATTATTGTATGGCAGATCCCGCTCAAGGTCCAGACGCCGTTCTCGTTCCCGCAGCCGTACTAGATCTCGCAGCCGACGCCGCTCTTACTCACGTAGTCGCTCTCACAGCCGTTCGGACAGCAAGAGCTCCCGGGGACACTCCCGCTCACGCAGCAAGTCCCGCAAGTCTCGCAGCAACAGCAAGAGCCGATCTCGCTCTAAGTGAAAGTAACTTGGTGAGTTTACTGACATTTGTTATTCGGTAATTTTATTATTATGATAGATATGAAGACCTTGTTGGATTTAAATTTTAGCATTCAAGGAATAGTTTAGTTTAGTTCCCTGTTTGGTAAAAAGATAAATTTATTAATGGACTGCTTCCAGATCAGATACTGACATGCATCTTGTAATCTAATTCTTAGGCCTACATCTGAGATAGGCCTACTGGTAGTCTTATGTGATGGGTTAGGAAATCAAAGTATTGGCCTAAAATATACTAAATGTATTGCTCTTATGGAGTTTTCCGAGTAAATGTCCAAAGGAATTTTAATATATTTTACTTTAATATTGCAGAGCTATATTCATACTAGATTGGATTAGTAATTGTTTGTGCTAAGGACTTTCTTATGTTTGGTTACAGATGGTGGAATCGCAGTGGTTGAGATTCTTGGACTGATTACCTTCTAGTGAAAGGTATATTAAAATGTTAGTGTTATTTTATACATTTCCTCACTCATTTGTGTTGGTTTCATTTTTAAAATTACTAATGAGCTAAAAATGCCCCTTTTATTTCTACCAATTGTTTTTGTTTTTACTCATTTATTTGTCTGTAAATACTGAATCCAGTTTGCTTCCCAAAAAGTTGGCGGTTTTACAGAGAATGGTGAATAATTTAAATGAATGCTTGGAATTTCTGTTAAATGTAGGTCTGTATCTAATTAAAATACAATCAATGTAATTCACCAGTGTTTGATTCTCTTGATATTAAATATGTGTAACTATAAGAGCTTGCATTTGTAAGGTTAGTATTAGGTTATTCCATTGAAGATATACCTTGTAAACAAATATAGTAGTCTGGGTTTCTCTCTGCACAGTGATTTTATGTTATCCCTGATTCTTCTGTCTCTGTCAAAAGATTTTGGTTCAGGTTTAAAGCTTTGTCAGTAATTTTGTGTTTCCAGGAATATCATTATTGTAAGTAAAGTATAATTTGTGTTGAGGTGTAAAATAATATTTCTATTTAGACAGAATACGAATACGTATAACTTAGTAATACAAATATGGACTGTTGACAATTCACTGTGATTGTTAGATGTTGGTATGTAATCGATCAAATCTTAGTTACATGTGAATTAAGGGGTGAGTTCTATGTTTCATAAATTTAAAAGTACTGAATAAATATTTTGAATTACATCAAATGGCGAGCATTTAATAGGATAAGTTGCAGATGAAACATATAGACTTGGTGTTAACTTATTTAATGTTAGCCTTAGCCTACTACAAACAATCCGCCAAATATTTGAATAAATCTATTACATTTTTTATGATAGACATTACTGAATGAAGTGTTTATTTGTGAAAAATTTGAGAATAAGAACACGTACACAGTTATATATAAGGCTATAACCAAAATTATAAAGGTACCGTACCTATTATTAAATTAGTGACTCAAGTAAGTGGAACATGAGTAAGCTATATTTCGTTCACTACTGGTAAATGAACATTTTGCGATTTTAAGTTTAATTAAATAAAATTTTGATTTTGAAAATCAAAAAATCTTGATTGTACATTTAACCTAGCTTACACCATGTTAGAGTAGCTCCTAATTTACCTTAGGTGTGCAAATATGTTGTATGTATGGTTATGATTTATTTATTAATTTAACTGGGTATCCGTATTAAACATATTTTCTTGGTCAACAGTTCATTCAATCTAATTTATTACAAGATAATTAAATGGAAATGCCTTTCTTAATTGATGTAGAAAGAAAAAAAAAACTATTGGTTCATTTCTCAATCATACTATTGTATTGTTGTGTATTATGTTTGATCTTAAACACTAATTGTGAGGGCCCCTAGCAGCTAAATGTACTGAGCAGGGTGTCCAGCCGGAATCGTATGTAAATTTTGACAACCGGGAAATATCCGTGAATTTTGTAAAATAACAGGAATTTAAATTATTTAAATAGCTGAAAGATTCACCCGATTCCGCCCGTAAAGACATTATCGCATGTTTTGCCGTCATTGACAGAATTAATCAAACGCATGTTGCCTCAATTGCAAGTAATAATCATGGATGTCCATGTCCATGACATAGTGAGAAATCATCGCAGATGTTGTCAGGATCGCTGGAAATCATCGTGGATGTGTCTGCGATCCTGAGAAATCATCCCAGATGTTGCCGTGATTGTGTCCCACAAATTTTGTCTTGACTGAAAAATATGATCACCGATTTGGTTGAAATCGGGAGAAATCATCACCGTATTTGCCAAAAGGTTTTTAAATGTACTAGCACACATAAAAAATTTAAATTTTTCGTATTTTGAGCGGTAAGTTTTGTCCAGGAAATTTTGAACCTGGAAAACCCGGATTGTTCTTGAATATTATTTTGATGGGATTCTGGACACCCTGCTGGCATTTTCATTTGTGAATGGGTATGTCCATGTCAAACCAACCAACTGCTTTAGAAAAAGTCATAGCAAAAAATCTATATACCAATATCTCTTGACTTGTACGCCTTTTCTAATATAATACTGCATTTGAATGGCATGTGAAGTTATGCTTGGTTTGCCATGGACTCCCTCAGTGTTGAGTACTCCATTGTCACCCGCCTAATGCTCTTATCTTCTGGCAGGCAGGAGGAGGGTGTGATGAGGTGGCAGGGGGTGTAGCCGTACCGGTGTGCCGAGCTGTAGCCGTAGCCGTTTTGCTGTTAGCCGTTGGCGTATGCTGTAACCAGTTGTTGCCGTTTGCTGCCCAGCCGCCACCGGGGAAAGCGTGGTTTATCAGTGCTCAGAGGGTTGTGTGTGATCAGGGGTGATTAGGTGATTATTCAACTAACTCTAAATCCCTGTATTAGTACGCTTCCATAGTTGAAATGGAGATGAGAATCTGTGAGCTTAGGGAGATGGCCTTATTGTTTACTAGTTGTGAGACGGGCAGATATTTTGAGTTAAAGATTTTTATCTAAAATCCCTCCTACGTATCATTCATCTATAGGCCTAAAATAATGATCATGTCTTATCATAATTCAAAAAAATACCCTGTATATTTTCTGCTGTGGGAAGTAACATACATAGGACATACTGTTTCAGTTTGTAATATTTTTCTATTATCTGAGTCCTACCAATGATGTATCTGTGACCAGTAAAGGACTGAGTAATATTTTAGGCCTACCTAATAAAACCTCATCTTTGCATCGTGAGAGTTAGTTTTCCAGCAAGGATTTGTCTTAAAAAATGTTTTGTTGGTGAAGGCCTTTGATCTTGACTATCAGCTATCGTTGGATTATAAGCTTATCATTCAAATAAATTCTTATTTTCACCAATAATCCTTTAGTAACTCATTGTTCAGAATATTTTTTTATGTAGTTGGAAATTATGCTTGAAGGCTGCTTCTATGGTTGTGTATTAAGTGTGTACAGGAGGTATTTCTTCATTTTGGCAAATAACAAAGTAAAATCTTATCTCTGGTTTTGACTTTTCCTCAACTTTTCTTCTTTTCTGTCCACTCACCCTTGTAATTGTTCTAATCATTCCAAAATCATCTTCACAATACATGTAGTTTGGTTAAGAAAGGTTTTAAGGGAATGGTAAAAACGATGTATTCGGCAAAGAAAATAATGCTTTCAAGTACATTAATGTAAGAGTGTTTATATGTGGTCTTCGAATTAAAATTCACCATAAGAACACAATTAGCTATGAGGCACTGAGCACTGATAAACTGCATTTATAACAAAATAAAAATCAATACTACTGGATTTTTAGTGGGTCTAAATTGGGAAGGTGGGAATTGATTTGGAATTGAAGTATCAAAATTTATGATTGCTGAAGAATTTGGTTGTATTGTAAAATGTTCCAGGTTTCAAAATGGTAAGTATTGTAGCATAGTTTCTACAACCTATAAATAAATTGGTTTTAACTGTGAAGATCTAAAAATAAGTCATAAAAGTGTGTGTAAACCGAAATAGAAATCAGTTTTCAATAAGTTTTCTCTTAAAAAAAAAAAAAAAAAAAACACATAAAAGGTAAAAGTAGTGTCTATATAATTTTCTTTTAAAAATAAACAAATGCAATGCAAACAATCCAAATACTAAGAAGAGTATAATTTTTTACTAATTGAAAAATATTCAAACTGGTAGATTTTTTTGTGATTTCTATGTTTTCATCTCAATCAAAATAAACTCCTAAGCATACACTCATTCAATTATGACTTTAAAGCTTTTGTTAGCAAACATGTTGAGGTTTTTTGAGATAATTTTAGGATATTAGCTGCTCTGGAGGATTCGGAGGAAACCTGGAAGTGGAAGAAGATATTGAGACATGTAGTTGCTGCTGCTATATTTTACTAATAAAAGGTTTACCGTATGTCACAAAGTTGTCATATTTTAAGACCCCTGTTATCTCTACAAAGTATTATCAGTTAAACTTTGGAACATTTCTATACCAACTGAACTGAAGAACAATAAACTCATTGTCATTATAAAAATCAAATGACAGACCATATTGTTGGTCATTGCCTCTTAATACCAATTACTATTTATTCACTCTTGCTGTACAGTAGTACAGTTGACCACCTAAAATTTAATCACAACAGTACACATTTAAATACTATTTAAGATGAGTTGAGCTCTACTGATAAAAGGGATGATGAAATCAATTTTTTGACACAAGTAACTGACATATTAACTGGTGTCTCGTCAATACATACATGCTTGATAACATGGTGATGTACTGTGAGGGTTGTATGTAAAACTAATAAAGGTAAACTGAGCTGTTTAAAATGAAATGTAAGATATGTAATCCAACAACAAATCAGCTCCAAGTCTAAATGTTTCCTAGAAACACGGTTGGTACATGTGTTGCTATGATGGTGAAATTGTCCACTAGTAATCACGCAAAACAAAAAAACACTTAAATTGTGTACAAAGAAAACCGATAAAAACATACTGCCAACACGACGCAGGTTTGAGACAAATGAAAAATGTCTGCTATTATACCTACTTCTATTTAAAATTGTTTTATATTTGGACAGTACTAAAATAGTTAACGAATGATGTGTTTAAAAAATTTGAAATTAGACGGGGCATAATTTTCTGCTTTCAAAGCCTGACAAAGATAAAATTGTTTTTCCTGATTTGCTTTTCCATGCTTATATTTTATTGTTGCCAATCAAAGTAATAACGAATGTCAAAATTGTAATGCACATATAAATATTTTTACTTTTAAGGTAACAAAAATTGGCTGATAAACATCATTCATTTGACATTTTAATATCATTACACATGTATTTAATTAGGCTAAGCTTGAAAGGTAGTTGAATATTAATTTATCTTAGTTCAATGTTAGGAATTTGCAACAACAGTAACGTAATTCAATGATTACCATACCGGTAGCCAAATTTGCAATTTTAAAACTTCCAATATTTAAATTGTATTCATATTTTCTTTAGAGGATGCGATATCTCATATGGGGAATAGTGAAAAACAATATGAGAACACAGACCAAATCTACATGGTCACGGCGACGGGCAACTTTTTTGTTTGTGTAGGTTAAATGCTGCTTACTGGGCAGTTATAATGCAGTCGAGTTGGGTGAAAGTACAGTACTCTAACACTTCCTCAATAAAATATGTTCTGGTTCAAAATCTTGGTCTGATTTTGTAATAAATTTTCTGTTTGCCATTCAGATCAGCACCATCAGTTGAAAGTTTATTTTCTCAAATCAATAATGCTCGAGGAATAATGTAGAACCTTAATGTGAGAGTAATAAAAGGATCAGTTATGAATTTTTTTTGTTTTAAACGAAAGTGTTGTATTTTTGCGGTATTCCTTTGATGTACACGTATCAATGAAATTCCATAAGTCTCAATAATGCAAAAACTTCATTGCATGTTTATTATTTTTTTACATTTCTTGAAATGGGACTGGAAAGCTTGTACACATTATGCTAGGTTAATTTGATTTTGTTTGTCTCAAAATAGCTTAAAAATCGCTCATTTGAAGCACATAATTTTAACATTTTTCTGGGGGAGGAATCCCCAGGCCACCCTTTGCTGGGGGATACCCCCAGGCCCCCTGGTGACCCTCCCCAAAATATAGGTCTAGGAACGCCCTTGTTCTATGTACTCATGAAGCTTAAGCTACCAACTGCTTCCGACTCTCCTGTGTTCTTTGGAGGACCCTCTGTCTGCACTAACCTCATCTACTCAAATTTAACAGGGCGAGTTTCTAAAGATATACCAATAAGTTTATTTGAGGTTGATAGAAACGTTACTTCGACATACTGACTACGGTCACAAAGATATGACTGAAACCAATTTAGTGAATTTTTCGATATACCTAAAGATTTTAATTTTTGTAATAAAATTGAGTGTTTTACACTGTCATAGGCTTAAGACAAGTCCAAAAAAAAAATGCCAGTTGAATATCATCCAATAAATTGTGTTTTTCTAAATAATTACTTAACTGGATTGAAGCTACTTTCTCAAAAATTTTAGATAAAGATGAAAGCAGAGATATTGGCCGATTGTTGTTTACATCTGAAGCATCACCTTTTTTTGTACCGGGATGATTTTAGATTTTTTAAATTTAGTTGGGTATGAACCAGTGATAAATGAAGAATTGATCAGGTGACTAAGAATTTTACTGATATCCCTTTTCACTTTAAGCCTAGCGGTGGACGCCAAAACTTATGCTAACTGCAGCACAGCTGACGGTCTATATTTATTCAACTTGTCTATTGTTGTATGGGGTTAAAAATGTATTAAAAACACAGTTTAATGATCACTGTAATTTAATTAAATTCATACACACTATGGGAAAATCACATCTATATACTGTTTACAAATAAAGTGAAAGTCACATAAAAAGTACAACCAATTTCTCGTTTTCACAGGAACAACTGTCTTCAGTTTTGTAAATGATCTATAAGTAATAATACTAATAAATAATAATACTATTTCAAAATTTTTCTGATAAAAAATAGAATGACATATTTTAAGGTGAACACAACAACTGTTTAAATGATTGTCTGATATCAAATAAGCTTAAAACAGAAAATCTTTTACGGTTAAATACCCAAACAACATAATATATGTTTACGAAAGTTATATTTATTGAAATAATCAGTGTTCTAAATTGGTAAAGAGTTTTTATACATTCACCTTACAATATTCAACCAAATAACTTGTGAGGAGAATACCTCCAACCCTAATTAAGCCAAATACAATAAATAGTAATGAACTGAATAGGTAACAAATTAATTTTTAACAGGAAAAGTACACAAGTTAATAGATCAGATAGAAAAAGAATGAAAAAATCCAAAATAATTTTACAATTTTGAGCGTGTAAAATAATTGAAAAGCAAGTCCAAAATGACTGGCAGTGAATTCATTTGAGTATAAAGCATTCCTTCGCACCACACGTTTTAATATTTACAAGTACAATGGACTATATTTACAGCTCCAAAATTTGATCATGTTGGCAATAGTGTCTGCAAAAACGCAAAAATTGTGCGTCTTCCAGAGTGTGTGTGCTTTAGACTGTTGAAACTCAGAAAAGAGTTTTAGAATAAAAATACTAAAAGTAACCTCACATTCTGCACAATGTAAAAATATCAACATTGGCACTAAATTGTGCCCTCGATTTAAATTTGTTACAGTTAAGGTTTACTAAAACAGTTTACATTATGTAACACGATTCTATGTTAATTACAATATATTTTTGAAAATGTACCATTTACTAGGCTATTTAACAACAGAGTAAAAAAGGTTTCCCTTACAACCGTTTTGGCCATAACTATATCTACGCTTATGGTGTAGCTATTTTACAGGAATTTGAGATCTGAATTTTGTGCTTTGAAATAGTTTTAGTTTTTGTAATTTTATAGTTCGTGGTTGGTTGAGGAAAAACATCCAGTTTAGAAACCTCATTAGATGATTTTCTAATGATCGTAAGAAAAATAGACTCAACAAAAACCAGCCCTTGATAATGGCTGTGTATTTACAGTATCTCCCTATCACATAACCACGTAAGACATACCGTAAACACCAATATGGAATAAATATTTACACAAAATGAACAAATAGTGAGATATATAAGTTGACAAACTAAAACAAATCACAAAATCCAGAGCACAAACATTGATAAAGTTTAGTTGAAAAATCTTAACCTACAATCACAACAATTTACAATCGCTTCTTACACAGTTTGCATGATAACGCGATGTTACTGTCTTTGGCTTGAGTATAAAAACTATTTTACAACAAGTTGTTTATGCACAATTGTGGATTCCCTTCCATGAAGGTCAAATCTTGTGTTTATTTGTACTATACACCAGAGTCGCTACTCTGGGATTACAGTTTAAGTTGGGAGGGTCAAAATCTTTGCTGCTTTTGATTACCGAACATGTACATTAAGGGGCAAAATTAATTTAGGGGGGAAAATATGTAATTTACAACAGACAGAGAGCTAAAATCTGAATCTCAATGTGTACAAAATTAAAGTAGTCATAATATAGGAATTGAATTAATCATGTTTTGTATAAATGTTTAAGGTGTCTGAAAATTGGGATGATGATTATAGTTAAACAAACAATTAACTTCCATGAAACAATTGTGGCCCCTACAGTAAATATGAAAAGCCAAGCGTAATTTTAACAGAGAAAAACCGTTTGCGCTAAAAGCGAAAATGATAAAATTATGGCGATGTTAAAACCCCTTCTAACAGTGATTCAAATTAGGCCTTTTGAGAAACTGCTTGGAACGTTGATGAAACACTGAAAAACGTACATAAAAACTGCAAAACACAGGACCATACATTGCACTCAATATACACTTAAAACTGTAAGGGAGTAATACGTTAAACAATTATATATTATTTATATATGAACATAATATACAATATAAAACTTAATTAGCTTTAAGACTACGATAATAGAGTAAATACAATATTTACAGAGCTTGCGTTCGTTGCACATGTAGGCCTAAACACAACCAGACGACTAGATCGGACGACTTTCAACGAGAGCTGACAATCTGCTTCAAAATATATTTGAGTTTAATTTTGGCACGTACTATTGTAATTTGATTTTGTGGTGCCATAACACAATGTAGATTCTGTATTTGAGCTTTGTTTGCAAGATTGACTATGTCGAAAGTCGTATGTTACATGTATAAATAATACCTATGTTCAAACACTAACCTATCATAAACATAAAAAAAATATTTATGTAAAATACAATGGTAAAATAGAATTGTAAATGCTTTCAGTAACTATTGATCTTTTGCAAACATAACTTGCAAAAGGGATATTCATTAAAACTAATGAGTATATAAAACATCTTTAGCACGTCTTCATTCAGGTTTCCTTTTGGTAAAATTTAAATTGATGTATTAATTACTAAAGTTCAATAATAAAATAATAAAAATGCTGTGATCATAGAAATTTCCTTTTGGGCTAAAATTGAATCTAATACTGATTGGTATCATATTTCGTAATATTACATAATAATGAATTGTTCAAGAGAGCTTTTCTTGGTAATTTGTTACACTAAACTTGCACAAGGGGTTAGCCAAGCTTGTGGAAGTATAAATTAATATTTACATTATATATAACAGTACCAACTAATAATATCAAAATTTGAGGAGGCAACACTAAAACTGCAATCATAGTTCCAATTTGAGGTTATTTTGGGACAACTGTCTTAAAACTGTCACTGTCACCACTTCTGCTTTAAGTCAATTGGGGGTTTTTATTACATCAGAAAATTTAGTTTTGTGGCTTAAAAGTCTCCAATGGAACGTTGTGCTATGACTTAAAAACCATATAAATTTACCATATTAAATCTACAGGTCAAATAAATCCTTTTGGTTATAACCTATGGGTGAGTTTTCAATTGAAAAAATAGTGCAGTGTGACAGAGTTGTTTTGATCTCAATTTTGTGTGTTATTTTCAACTTCAAGAGTATTACTTGAGTAGGATTATCACTTGCTACTTTGGATTGAATCCCAAACTTCTCTTTAATGTCCTGACTACGTTACTCTGAACAAAACTACAAAGTTAGTTTTGTTCTATGTCTAGCTTGTACTGGTTTTATTACTCCAACTTCACTGCTACACCTTGCTGTAGAATCAACACACATATTGCACTTAATCACCCAAAAATATTCATAAACTTAATACAAACCATAGAAAATAAAAAAATAAATACTGGTACTTGTTGATTTGATGCAGCAAATAATTAATCACAGCACAGTAGTTAGACTGTTTGTCTTATAAAACTCTGCTACACTAATACTTTTTCGTCACACTGCAGCAAAAACAGCGGTTTTTAATGCATACGTCTAAAGCGGCATTTTTACTCTCTAGGGAATAAAAATCAGCTGTTGTAAACAGTGGTAAATTTCGATTGTGGCAATCGTACCGATCAAAATTATTTATCGATTGATTTATAAGGTAAGGTGTTAGCCTATTGTTGTCAATGGTATAATGTACTGTAACAAAATCGTAATAGACAAAATGATTGAATCTCTTGCTAAACAGCTGCTTATTTGCATTGGTAGAATTGAAAACAAGCTGGAAGTCGTTTTGAGAGGTTACCTGCTTTACATAAATTTTTTTTTGTTTTCTAGAATGATGCAATATGTCAAAAAATATAGTTCACCACACAGGCAAAAGGTGTCTTTTTAACCCTCGCTCATTCTCCGACCTTGGCTTCGCCTCGATCGTAAAACTTCACCTCGGGTCAAAAAGAGTCACTTTAGGCCCTAGTGATGAAATATTGTTACACAGAATACACATTCAAAGTGATCTGTGCACAATATGTAGTTCATTTTATATAACACTACAGTCTAACCTTGATATAACGAACCTCGATACAACGAATTCCTTGATATAACGATTTTTTAAAAATCCCCTAGAACTCTCCATAAGACACAATGTATATTTTACCTCTACATAACGAACAAACCATAACAACAACCTTGATTTAACGAATTTTTCGTGATTTCGGCTAAAATAAGACACCTCAATATAGCGAATTTATCATTGTCAGAACCTCTACATTGCGAATTTAACCTCTGCATAACGAATTGTCTATGTCTTTCCCTCGATAAAACAAATCCCCCACCCCATTATTGTTTTTGAAAAATCTGTTTCTTTATCAAATGAAATGAAAGGTGACGTCATCGCTTGCACTAACATTCGTCTGCTCCGTTTTTAACACATCTCTCTGTCTGCTGTCGCTGCGCGCGCTATGTTGCAACTGAGAACTGATTTCATTCACTATTCACTGAGGACTGATGACGACTTAATGTTTAGTAAGCTGTGATTTGGCGATAAGTAACTATCGTGAATTGTACAATTTTTGGATAAAGAGAAACCTAAGAAAGAATATAAGAACAAAACCAAAGAGAAAGAATAGCAACATCGTTATTTTAACATTCCTTTTCGAGTGTTTTTATTATCTTTAAGTTGGCTATGATTATACACTTTTATAATGACTTATCTAATAATTTATTGTTTTCAATACGATTTGTTTCAACTAGCAACACCAATGCTATATTTAATGATTATTATTGACATTCCTCTGTTGTGATAAATCAGTACTGTACTCTAAGTAGCCTACCGGCCTATCACGAGCAGTAGCTTACAAAACTTTCTACTACTGTTTTGTTTTGTTCTTTACATGGTTTATGACTACGCAATACAGTGTTTGGCTAGGTTTTAGGAGGGTTAGAACAAGCTGTAATTTTAAACTTACAGTTTTTAACCTATACCAAGGTCAATGCCATTGTCATGATTGCGCAATATTCAAGATCCCTCCCCTTTTTTATGCCGGATGATTTAGGTTCTACTGTACAATGTAAACACTGTACTGTAAAGTATTGTAGCCTATGCTACTTTAATTGTGTTTTGTCTAATCCCGACCTATATTGACCGACGCTGGTTCTGAACCTCGACTTAACGAAATTCCTGCAAACATAACCTCTATATAACGAACCTCGTTTTAACGAAATCCTTGATATAACGAATATTCAGTTCGGTCCCTTCAGATTCGTTATACTGAGGTTGGACTGTATTAGTTTACATCACAAAACATTTCCTAAATTTGATAACCTGGGGACTTATCAGTTCAGTACATTCTAGTCACTTTTCATCTCAAGAAATGCGGATTTTCAGTTACCCTGATCTGGACCTAACCACTGTGACTGTGCTAACTCAACTCATAAGAAAAAGCTAATAATGCAGGTTCTGACAATGCTAGGATTACATTTAGCAGCAGAACCTCGGTCAAGCCTTATTCACTTAAAATAAAACTAACGTAGCCTACTCAGCTAAAATTGTGCTTGTCATGCAGCCGGCCTCACATCTCTGTGACCATGTAGTCCACGGTGGGGAGGGGTGGAGGGGGAAGAGGTGAGGCCGGCACTCAGTAGAAGTCCGAGGACTCGAGCGTCTTGCATTTCTTGCTCAATGTCGAGTATTGGCCGGGACCGTCGCCCAGCCGTCCGTCGCCGGACCGAAGCTTCTTGTTGCCGAGCGTGTGGGAATTACCGGGCTCCAGGTGAGTCCCTCGCCGCCCTCCCATCTGCGAAACCAGTTGTTAGGTGAAAACTCATATCTGGCTATGGAACTAGCTAACCAGAACAAAACATAGATTGTCGAACAGGAGCTTTAGTTAACCCAGTAGATGTGGTTCTTGAAAACTGGCTAACCCAGCCCGCCCTTCTACTCGATATGATTGTCAAATGAAATCAAAGTAAATTGTTACCGAAATAAAATTGTCACCACACAATAAAATGGCCATTTTAATGAATTACCTTAGGGAACTGATTCACTGATCATGTTAACTGGTAATATTATGGCTCTCTCATGGAAACTATGTTTTCAAAACTCTAGTTCAAGTTGATGTAATCTGGCATAGGAACCCAGTCATTGAATTTCATTGTCAAGCAGCTTGATTATCCATTTTAAACCGCTGTATTGAATTCCAATGTTGCCAGTTCTGTTTAGCTAGTTGCACTTAAGCGCTGGTATAGTTAAATGGATAATCTCTTAGTATATCTTTGTGCACACACTTCCATATGAGTGAGAAGGAGACAATGAGGTCAAGAGTAAAAACAAAGGAGAGTGCAGTGAAAGGATTTTACTACCTCAATAACTACAAAAAAGGCTACAACAACCCTGAATAATGGTAAACAAATCTGAATTGTACATTTTTAATTTTTTTTTGTGCTGCTGATTTTGGGTGAAGCAAGCTATTTTACTATTTCTGATACTATTGGCAATATCTTTAGCTACAAAATAAACACTGGATAGTGTATTGCAATTAAATATTTTCATACGTGAATGGGTTTAAAGGAGATGGTGAATGAGCAGCTAGGTGCATTACCGACTGGTGTTGAAGGCGTACCGATGGATGGTCGAGCGTGCGGAACTTGCGGTTCAGAGTCGCGTACTGGCCAGGTTCATATGGACTCCCTCGATCACCGAAACTCCGGGCTCCGAGGCTAGTGGCGCTGAGGCCAACACCTCTCCCATCTCTGCAACACAAACGCTCTTTCACTCTCCTAGTCTAGTCTAGACAACAAGTCACTATTTCACTCTCTTAGTCTAGAAATTGACTCACGCTTTCAGTCTCTTATTCGAAACAAAGAGTCACTATTTTACTCTCCTGGGCTGGACAACAACTCACTCATTCACTCTCCTCGTCTAAACAAGACACTCTTTTACTCTGCTAGCCTAGACAATAAGTTACTCATTCATTTTCCTAGTGTAGACATAAAGTCCTTTTTAACTCTTGCTAGTTTAGACAATAGGTCACCCTTTTACTCCGCTAGTCTATACAAAGAGTCACTCTTTCATTCATCTGGTCAAGCCAGCCAGTAAATTCTACAGCAATGAAAAAAACATATATGCCACGGTAATTATTACAAAATAATCAAATGTTTAAATTAAATTCTTTGATCTAATAAATAATCTAGCTAGCAAGGAACTGTGTTCCTCTATTCTTTTTGAGAACTCTATTATTTATTATCCTCCTTTAGACAATTATTGGCTCTTATAATCTCCAACTTCAGCCAACAAGTATTTCCTTCACCTTTAAAGTCTAGTCAGCTAGTCACTTTTTGACTCAAAGTCAGTCTTCAAAAATTAAACGATCTAACCATAAGTTAAGAGAAAAAAAAAATGGATTCAAACATTCCATAGGAGAAAAGTTTGAATAAAACAAATGAATAAATGGCTCATTCAATGTTTTAACTGAACTGCACTTTTATACAGCTGAAAATATTGTATACATTATATTTTATATTGATATATTTATTTTCTACTTGCTAATTACTTTATAGTGCAATAAATGGAAGTGAAGCTTACATACATTTTTATGCTACTTTGATATTTGACCTACTCTTGTCTTGTTTATGAAGTTGTATCGACATGAACAAATCTAATACTCCACTTTTGGTAATATTGCAAACTGTAGGTCCGATTTCACAAAACACTTTGCTAAACAGAGGTTATTAACTGCTCTTTTTTTACTCATGGCCGATTTTGGTGTTTCCAACCTGCAGCTTGTGTCAAATACATATACTGCATCTGGGTTAGTTGAGCATTTATGTTTATGCCATTAACAGTTTTTTTTTCATAAAATTACAATTTAACTACTTGATGAATACAAAAACAATTTTTGTAAGATCAATAAGGTGTCATTTTAGTACCAATAGTCAATACTTCTTTAGTCACAGTTGGAAGCTATAAAAATAAATAAAAAATAATTATGAATATATAAACATTTTGATGAAATAAATATTGATTGTTATTGATTTCTAAAAATTAACCGTTACTAACATATGTTCGACACCTTCTACCAACAATAGGGAATGACGTGCACTAAGCATATTGGGAGGGAGTTACTAAAATAAAAAATAACAGAACCAAATTTCTGAAAAGCCAAAACCAACCTTAACCGTAGCAAAAGATACAGACATGCAAAGGAAAATCAAACTACAAATAATAAATAAAAGTCTTTAATGCAAATTAAAGAGATACTAACAAAAAGAAACTAAAAAGGAAACAAAAATCGAGCACCTTTGTTGCAAGAGGAATATTATGACCATCACCTTGAAGAGTATAGATCTAGTTATCTTCCCTTGGGGTTATGTGTAACACCCAAAGAGAGCTACTTCAAATATGAAGCGAGCCCAGTGATATCTTTACTTCTCTGACAGCACTTCAATCTATTTTTTACACTTCTGATGGTTGTATTTGAACCCTTATAGTCTTATCTTCAAGAAGAACTGTTTATATTGGAATTAATACTAATTTTAAATAATAACTTCGCCAATATATCTGAATTTTTAATGTTTATGAGGCCTTTCGCCAGCTATGCTGGCATCATCAGACACATCACAAATTTTTTGTGATGTGTCTGATGATGCCAGCATAGCTGGCGAAAGGCCTCATAAAAATTAAAAATTCAGATATATTGGCGAAGTTATTATTTCAAATTAGCCTTACAGTCTTGTCACAATGTGAGTGGAAGTATTTGCTACCACTAAGTATGTGGTTACAAATATAAGGTCATAGAGGTAGAATAGTAGTCAGGGGAGTGAAAAATATGGTGCTAGTGTCAGATTTTAACTAGAATGCTTAGCTGCAAATGAGTCTTAACCTTTTTATTCATTTTTGATGACAGCTTCTATTTGGTACAAAATACACTGGGAACTATTTTTCTAACTTTTGTTTACAACGTATGGAGTGATACTTTTGCGATTTATGTTTTCTATACCTACAGGTTACAAGAGCTCAATTTTGTATATTTAGAGACGTTTTAGGAACTATTGGTATTCAAAAAGTTTATAGGTTAAATAGTATTATTACTTAGTAGTATAAAGAAAATTTGTTTTCTTTTTAATTGTGTAAGAAAATGCAGAACCAACTACTTTTGTTTTACATATAATCACCATAATAGTAAACTTAACAGTTTGCACAACAGTCAAACAAGTATATAGTTTTTTCTTTTAGCAAATTTCACTATTTTAGTTTGAGATAATAATACATATTTTTTATAGTATGAAGGTTTGAATATGAGTAATGGAATTAGTTGTAGGTTTTTAATAGTGAAACAAAACAAAAATCATAACACATGATGGTATTTAAAAATATAATAATAGAATCAAAAGTGTGATAAATAATTCAAATGTATGAGAAACAATATTCTTTTCACAAACATAGGCCCTAACATAATCCTATATTTACATAACATGCTATATTTTACAAAAATACTATCCAGTAGACACAATATTATTAATAACAAAATATATTACTTTAAAAAACTTCTCAATGCAGTCTATAAATTGGTTAATGCATAATACTAAAAATAACTAGTTCAAAGAGTATATAATAAATAAAAATAGAATGTAAATATACAACATATCGCTAAAAAATAAATGCAATGATTTGGTAATATCGTTTGGTAACAAAATACTGACTGTATCCACACAAGAAGAAACATTTGATAATTATTAAAGGAACACAATTGAGTAAAAGATCACGTTGATTGATTAACTTGCATGGAAGATGGTCTCATGTTAGGACTTGGCTTATTCTTATAGAGTATTTTATTTTACTACTACAAACCAACCCGTACAAGGTTGTGTGAATGTCTCTAAATTATCTTGAGTTGTTCACTTAACCTAACAGAAAAAGAGTATCACTAGGTAATTATCTCAGACATGGCCTACTTGGAATTGTATTTGTTTACCGTAATAAAACATAGATTTAGTTGTACTTTAATTTTAGTTAAAAACTTCAATATCAAAGATGAGACGCTTACTACATTGCTGCATCAAGAGTGGAACTAACATCCACAAAACATAACAAATTTCTTAAAAATAGATTTTAACTTTTTTCCACTACCTTAAAGTAGGCCTAATTTCTTGATCATAACTACAAAACAATACAACCTAACTATTTCAACATTTCAAACTCTAATGGTCCTAACCACACCACTAACCACCGCATGCTAGGCGGGTGCATGCACATGCAGTGCTGGGTACGGGGGTGGGTAGGCCGGGTCATACACCACTACGGGGGTAGGTGCTGGGTACGGTGGCGGGGGGAAGTGGTAATCATAATGCGAATAGTACGTTGTAGCGAACGACCCTTGGTTGCGGAGTGTCCGCGCGGCGATGGCTTGCGAGGCCGCGGTGGGCGGCAGGAACGGGTCTTGCTCGTCTACCTGCAGATAGTCCCGCCTGGAACACAACGTGCAATGAGGTGGGCGGATGACAGATGAAATGATATTGTAATTGTTTAGTCTGAACACATATATTACTTGATTTAAAAGCACTACTACGATTTTTTGTTGGATTCTTTTCACTTGTGACTTTGGTTTGAAACATGTTTCTAAAGAGGAGACTCTAATTTGAATTGACTATTTAATTTGAAATATTTGATCTTTTCTCATTTGAGATACAAGGATAAACCTCTGATTTTTATGAACAAGATCACTGTGTACTTGTAATATGTTTGTAGCCAAAGAACCTACTTTTTTTACTAAAACAGGTAGTTTACAAATTACCAACAAAAGTATGTTTTCTTTCCATTCTGATCCAAACCTATCTCATGGAAATAATTTGAGATAACCTGTTACGAAACAATTTAAAAGCTATGAATAGTTAACCAAAGCAACAACAAAGTTTTGACAGGGTTAGAATGTTCATACATTTTTTAAGAATACAGTACAACATAAACTGAAATTAAACAAATAAAACAGTTTTCGTGCACCACCAGATATACCAACTATTATTTAGTTCCGTTATACACTAGTTAGGGTTACTTACACAGTGTTCAAATTAGTATTCTTTAGGGGTAAAATTACATTGCACAAGATGTGTGAGCAATCAAATAAGTGTGTGTTAGCTTAGTCAGGAAATATGTTTCAGACTGATTTTACACCTTGAAACTGTTATGCCTTTACACCATAGACAGGTTAGTTGGTGAATAGGAACAAGTTTGTATACAGAAAAGATGTTGTTGATGAGAACATGAGAAATGTTATTTTATGTAAGTGGTTGAAGTTTATGAATGAATAGAAATGTCACATGTGTGAGAAACATTAATGGTCCACACCCAGTTCTAAAAGCAAACAAACTTTAACGTGCAGTTCTTTGGCGAAAGCTGAATCTGCTCGGACGGTCGGGCTCAATCCAGAATATTAGACGAGATCTGTAAACAATTCATGCAGTGAACAAGCAAATGTTAGAGAAGAGGCCAAGTGCAAAATGAACCAAGGCTAGGAGGCAATGGCAAATGTATTTGCATATGTTTTGTAGCGGGGGGGCCACAAAATAAATCTAAGGCCAGACATCCAATGCAATGAAATAAATGTATTTCAATAATAAAATCATGGGTTCAGCTATGAGTAAATTCAAGAAAAAACACGTGTAGTGTAATTCATTACAGGGCTGTATTTAATGTCTAGCAACGATGCCAAAAATTACAATTAAAGTATATTTTTATTACTTTACAAATCAAATACTTCTAAAGGTATTTCAACTTTTTACTTAATATTTTCAGTATCAATAAATTTCATTGTCATAGGTTTATTTTTGCTATAGCAGCAAAACATCCTAAATTATTCCTTTTAATTATTTGTCCAAAAGAAGGCAAAATATAAAGCTTAAGTATTTTCAGGCATTATCGCATCTCGAGTCAAAAGGCACAAATATTTATAGATGACAATATAGTAAGAGGCAAGCATAGATATTTAGAACTTCTTACTTTTTCCGAATGTAGATCCAAGTGTGTGAGTCGAGCCAGACGAGGATTGTGAAGAAGAAACCAGCTCCAGCACTAGCAGCCAGCATGAATGTTAGACCAAACCTGAGTAAAAGAAGCAAAGTGAGGCTCACAGTTCCTTTACGATTGTCCACAATGCAGTAAACGTAATGGAATATGAATAGGGATGTTCCAGTCCCAAATTGTGGAAATTTGTATTAATGTAAAACATAAAAATACCTGAAAAAGCAGGATTAGTTTTGGGAATTTTTGGGGAACTAGAATTCGGGGATGTTGTTGTGTTTGTGAGACATACTCGTGGATGATAATGTGATGATGGTAGATAACTGTGATTCTTGTAAAAAACAGTTTTGAAAATAAAGTTTTTGAATTTATAAAAAAATTAAAAGTTATGAGAACCACAATACAGGTTGTTCTGTATTGCACTTTATAAATATTTAACGTAAAATAAAGATTCAGAACTTAATTTCTTAGGATTCGGATTTGAGATCCACATTTCATGTAGTAAATCTCTTAAGGATTCTACTACTACAGCGATGTACTTTGTATACATATTTTGAGCTCATTACGAATGCAGGGTGAATATGGAGTGGAGTAAATACACAGTGTCTTCTTCACTGACTAAGATCAGTAGTTTCTTTAGACAAAACCATTTCTTAAAAGCATATTGATCAAGGACAGTTGGGTCTCGCTTGAAACATCCAAGAGCTACTGACTTCTCAAATCAGACTTGCCTTCTTTTGATTTTCAGGACACTATGACCACTCGGCCACCCAAACATACAATATTTGATTGACTAGTAGCTTTACTCACAGGCCGAGGTCGCAGACAGCGTGCAGAGCGTGCATGTACTCCCGGTGGATTGGCCGACAGTCAAGCAGGGCTGCTAACCCCGAGATCAACTTCAGAGCTAAATTTACCTCTGTAGTCAACACTTCCAACTGTGGATGCAACTGCGGAAAAAACATTGTCTGCTATTATTCCTGGTAATAAATTATTTTTACTGATGTTAAGTGCTCTAGAAATGCATGCCCTTATTTTAATGGCAAACTGGAAGGTCAGTTTATTGTAACCCATACCATCTTTTATATTTATTTAATTATTATAATATCAACAATCAAGATAGATTTTAGCTGGTCCATACAGGTGGGCTGTATATTCTAAACTGACCTGCGTAGGGCTGTAGAGTTGTTTGGCCAGACGGGCGACAGAGCTGAGGCTATAGAAGACAGCATCAACGGCCAACGTACCCTTGCGCACAACCACCGAGAACGGGTTGGTGCGCGCAGGCTCACACGACGTGTAGTACTCCAGGATGTCCTGCTGTAGCGAGGAGGGCGACGAGTGCTCCAGGAATATGTGCGGAGAATCGCAGAGATCTCCTAGCGCCTGCGGAACAACAGAATCAATAATAAAACACACAATAGTTAAAGCCTGTAAAGTTGGGGAAATCTACAACACCAGAGGGTAGAACAACACAACGGCTGGGCCAGTCCTATCGTAATAGTTTACTTTATTGAATACAACCTTTTAAAGTGGAAATAAAATGACTAATTTGAAAATTTCATTGATTTGCTGTCCAAGAAAAAATCAAACTGACAATTGTGCATTTATACCGTGTTAATTGGCTAAGTTTAAGAATTGCTAGTCAATTGACTTAGGATAGCTTGGATTACAGTAGATTATTTATTTGTAAATAAAACAAGGCATGACTCCCACGGTTAACCTTGCCATCACCCCTGTCATGCATGAATTAATGTTTATTAAGCATCCCACCAACCACCAACCACCAAACCAGTAACAGTGCTTCCTAGTGCAGCAATGCGAGTTGCTGTTAACAATGTTACCCATTTCATTTCAAAACTTGTTGAAATTTTTGGAAATAAAATGATGTTTAACTCAACTTAAGTTTTAGATAAAAAATGTTTGTTACTGGTAAAAAAAACTATTGTCCAGTTGTTAAAGTGGGGTATAGTTGTTATTCTGACTAATTTCCATAAACAGAGAAAATAAAATTATTTTGTAATAAAAACCAATATAAATAATATGTTTGGATTAAAAATCAATACAAATTATATAACTTTTAAAATAGTTTTATTCACTCACCACAGAAGCTGTGAGATACACTGAGGCTAGCAGCCATGAGATGATCACAGCAAACAGACCAAACACAGAAAACCTGCAACACCAAACAGTACACAAACATTGCACTGGCTTCAAGGCAGCTCAACTACATAAACTATAACAATAATAATAATAATAATAATAAATAAATAAATCTTTATTGGTCATTAAATAACATATGATACAATAGACCTCGTTAACAAAAAAAGGGCCATAGATTCAATACACCTGGACTAAAACTTTCCTAACAGGCTTATAGATCATATGATTGAGTCATCATATATTAAAAACATGGTTATCTTATGTGATTTAAAATTACCACAAAACTTACGTGATAAGAGCGCAGCGGGAATGACGCGCCACGCCAACCAACAACACAACACAAAACACCAGCAGAACACTGAGAACTGCCATGGTAACTGGCCACCTGCAAAAAAAGGAAAAAATTAGTGTTTAAAAATTTAAAATATAAAGTGTATTAAAAAAACTCTGTGTACATATATTTGAGCACATTTATTTTCACTTAAAAAAAAAGTCTAGCTATCATTTAAGCCAAGTCAACCATCAAAAACTAGACACAACAACTCCGGTGACAAACAATAGGCCTACACTGTCGCATAACACAAACCCCTGATAGGTCCCAGACTCGATACAGGATGGTTTATTCAGTGGACCGGAAAGTTTGTCTCTTGTTTACAAAGGGGGGAGGGAGGGAAGGGGGTGAGTCCCCATACAATGACAAATCTTGTGCATCATTTATAGGTTTCTCCCCACAGCTGCAAACCAACCACGTGTGTGCATCAAAAATTAACCCAGCATAAGAAGTTGTAACTTGAAGATGCATTACTAAAATTAATCTCAGGATTTGGTGACACTGAGATGGTCCAGTGCAGGCAGTTACAACTTTTTAAAATTTGTTAGAGCTAGACATTCAACCCCAATGTTAGGGTTGTCTCCCCAAAATAGTTGAATTAAGCCACTGACAGATTGCGCTGATATAAATTACAAATTTCTGTCGAATATGCAGACTTTAAACCAAGTCAAACTGAAAGGATGACTTTTGTAAGCTATAGCGTCATAGCATTTAAGACACTAGCGCACTCATGTGGGTGGCTCCTTTACCTATACTCTGTTTTTATAAAAATTGGCAACAGCTGGTCTATATAATATGGGATGTCTACTTCAGTACAGTAGAATCTCTTTAATCTGAACCCCCGTAATCCTAACATCTACTAATCTGAAAGCCTCATTGCTGTACTCTATACACAGTACAGCAGTTCTTTATTGTATTCTGTATTTATTGATATACACACCACAATTGTTTCTATTGTAATGTACAATGCTGTTTATTCACTATGTTTACTACTGTATTAAATAAAAATAAACAATATATTGTCACTTTTCTTATAACAATTGTGATTTATTTTAGCCCCGTTTAGCTATTGTTATGTAAAAACAACAATATGTTCTGTGATCCAAACTATTCAATATTCCGAACTACCCTCGGCCCCAATTAGTTGGGATTAGAGGTTCTTCTGAATTCAAAATTCAATATTAAAACGTATCCTAGGACTTGGAGGGCTACGCAGACGGTCAAAATATAAGGTTAAAAGTCACCAGCAAAAAAAAACTTTAAAAAACAACTTTACTGGTTGAAACTGGTGAGTTGTTTTACAAGCACCCAAGTACCTGATGGCCTCAGCGACGTGCACTGTGGTGACTGCATGCCCCAGAGAGACGCCCCTTAGCGGCCGCATGATGTCCTGCAGGCTGGCCAACGCGGCCGTCGTATTGCCCGTCATCGCAGTCAGGGCTGCCAACAGCATAGCTCGCGCCGTCTGGTTGGCCACTGGGTCATCAAACACATCACCCAGCTCCGTCAACAGCGGAGTCACCTTCAGCTTCAGTGTCGACTCTATTGCTCCCGTCTGTGAAAAGTGGTTATAATATTATTAGTCCACAGTTAGATACAATCACATCATTACTTTGTCATTGGTATGAATAAGGTACAGTAATTTAGATTGAACAGCAATATTTTTCTAATGTAGGCTACATTTTATTTGTAGCCTTACATTAGACCTTATATTGACAGAAAGGGTTTGGTTAGCCCTTTGCCTATAGCGACAATATTTTCAATTATAGGTCATTAAAAATTTGAAGACATTTTTCTTGATCACAATATTAGAGCGTTATTCATGCCCAAAACGTCTCAATAAAATATTCAAAGCCTGGGAAAAGTAAGTGGCTTTTTAATGGTTCGAAACTGGACCCAGCTGACCTGATCTGGACCCAGCTGGCTTTTAATAAATGGTCCTGGCTAATGAAACAGCTGGTCATAGTCAGTAACAAAGCTACACAAGGGATCTCGCTTCATTCTACACTTCACTCATATTTGGGTTAAAATACGAGCCCAATCCCAACTGGTAGTAATAATAATAACAACGTTTGGTTCCTGCGATCCGACCCGTAGTTTGGGAACCGCTGCATTAGGTAGGTATTTACTGGTGTGTTTCTCCCACAGTTACTAACCTGGTTCTTGACATTTCCGATGATGTCATCGATGGCTCGGGCCGCAGAGAGGAGTTCCAGCATTCCGTTGTGAACGTCGTCGTTGCCGTAAAGTCCAACGCCGACCGCACCGCTGCCACACAAGTACAGTCAAGGTTTTTGTTATCAAACACACAACATTCTTAGTTTAGACCAAAATAGAGTTTATTTATTTTCCACTATGATTGAACTATATGTGGGTTGAATGTCTTCAATTTGATGCTGTAGATTTATGGATTTAGTTAAGTCATAAATAATCTGTGCTGAAGTAATATAGTTTCCTAATCGATTATGAATAAAAACCTAGCCACTTAGAAAAACAGAGCAGATTTTCTTCTAGTTTCCTTGTCTATAAATCCATGAAAACCAGGATGGCAAAAGTTTCAAATACGAGAACATCTTAAGGTCATTAAAAACATTATCTCTGGACAAATTGTTCTTTTGACACTGTTATTCTGCCCAAACAATATTTTTTAACCATATAATAAAACTTACCAGCATAGTATCGTAAAAAACGACAATGTCCATTTGAGTATTTGTATAGAGTGTTTGGGTCGAGGCTTTCTATCACAACAGCGAGTCAGGAGGTAGACAAGCAGCAAGAATAGGGTGAGAATCAACCAGGCTGCTGGGATGGACCCAAGAATGCCAAGAGACTGAAACAAATAGAAAGTCATGTAAAAACAAATAAAAGCACAGCAATCAAACTTACAAGATCACAGATATATCACATATAACTGTTATTTTGATTTTAAATTCAAACACTTTTCTCAATATAATATTTTCATGTATAAATAAATTAGAAGAAACAAATTTTGCAATTGAAAAAAAACATACTTGTACTACTAGGCCAACTAGGCTTTTTCAAGTCGCACTTCAAAAATTTGAATCAATCCGATCCAAAATATTACCAGAATAAAAATTAAGACTCTACTTTAGCAACCACAAACCACCCTGTGTTCGAAACAGAAACAATTATCCCTGCTAAGGGTGAGAATCCAGCTCTTGTTCACCCCTACCAATTCAACCCATTTCCACAGCCTTCTAATCACACGGTTAAGAGGTTGTGCATTATTCAGAAGGCGTTGTATGAAGGGAGGTGAGAAAGTGCCACCGTTGTCTATTTCAGTGCTTGTTGGCGAGGAATCGTTCTAAAATAAACACTCTAAATGACAAAGCTTATAAACATAATGGATGAGATTCCCAATTCTTCCTGCTTTAGTTTCTGTTTTGCCAAGTTTGGAAATACATTGGAGTGACACGACAATCAATTTTGAACGAAGCGGTAAAACCGGAAGTACATTCTCACCGCGTCTATTTATAAACAAAATAAAATGTTTGGTTTGCATTTAAAATGTCCACGTTTTCTTTAGTTGCGGTTTGAATGTAATTTAATTATTTCTAATTATTGATTGAGAGGTAAACATGAATAGATTAAATCGTAAATACCGGTACGTATACAAAAATAAGTGGCAAAATCCATAACAGACGTAGACTAAAATTACATATTGTAACAGCAAAAGTAACATTCAAAGTAAAAAGTTTTATGGTTTATGTGCTAAAGCACTTAAAACTTGATTCTCTGCCAAGCTATTGTACTGCCCACAACAACATTTCTAAATCTGAGACAAGAAAACAATAGTAACAGCAACAACAATAGTAACAGCAACAACAATAGCAAGTTGTCTTGCTGTCTCTATGAATAAATTAATATTCATCCAGCAGGCGCCAACCCTCATAGTGTCGTGGTCAGTGTAATCTCCTTTTTCAAATTTGGGAATAATTTAAAAATTTAATAATGGAAATTTTTGCATTTTTTTGTCATAACCTGGTAATTAAATTTATTGCTACATTAGTTTAAAATTTAAAATATGCGAATCATGGCATTAGTTAAGATAATAAAACAAATTATTAAATGACAATTTCAAAATTATTTAAAAGTATTCAATGAATTTGTTTTGATGTTACAAAAATTAAATTTAAGTAGATTATATTTAGAATAAAACAACTCGCTGATAACAATGCGAGAAATTCAACAGAAACACCAAATTACAAGCCAATGATCAAATTACAAAGCCAATTAGTGTTGAAAACTTTAATCCAACGCTTTCAAAGGGTCCATTAGCATTCACTGTAGTTTTACATTAGTGTTCATGTGTTTGTGCCTCTTTGTACTGAAACATTGTAATATTGCGCCTACATTGCCAATTGTTTCACATTCAGGCAATCAAGCGACAAAACTTAATTTTTTGACCAACTTACATCATCTGAAAACAAATTGTCATTGAAGAAAATAATTGTAATTAAAAATAAAAATGCAAGGTCTGTAACAAATGGTAGTTTAAGCGACTTACCCTATAGGTTAGAAGCTATAAATGTTGGTGGCATGGAAATACCTACACACAGGACTGATTTACTTTTTCATTTTGATGTCCCCAGAGGCCAAAAACACTATTTGATTTAATTTTTATACATGCAAATCAGTAAATGCAAAAACTCAATCAATTTTGGTCCGATTTTGATGAAATTTGGCAAGATTGTGTAAAGCTGGATAAACTTTAATGAGTTTGCGAACCAGCAAGATTAGGGCATGAAAACAAGATGTTATTGAGGTTTGAAGTTCTTTGAATTTGTTTTTCAAGCTTCAAAAAGCTTGGAAATGCCTAATTTTCATTGCAACCATCGTGCAGATCTAAAAACAAACAATTTTGTACAATCATCATTGATGTGCAGAGGTACATTAAAGGTTACGAAGAAAATTCCAAAAAAACTGTATATTTAAAGTTGTTATGAACAATACACGCCTCATGTAGAAAAATAAAACAGTTGTAGTTTGTTTTAAGGAAAGATAATGATAAAATTTGGCAAATATATTTATTTTATCTTATACCACTAACATATTATTAAACAAATTTTTCTCTTCCCTGTAGCAACAAACCTAAGTACTTGTTGAATCTAATGTTATTTAGATGGGGGAAAATATTACTTGTTTATGGAAATATTTTACTTAAAATTAAATCAGACAAAATTACATTCACTTAGTCTGCAGGTTTGCTGTGTCGTGAGTATTTCTCTAGGAAAAAAGCCCTAATTAAAGTCATGCGTATATGACAACCATACAACTAAATTGTAGGCAATATTGTGTAGCTGCAAACTAACGTGTTCGACTAAAAATATCAAGAAAAAAAAAATGTCAAGTCACATCCTTTTGCTGTATGAAATTTTGTCAAAGTACGAATATATAAGCTGTCATGGCAACTTTATAATGTTGCTAATTCATAGAAGGACTTTTGGGACTTTGAGCCAAAATAAATTTTGGCAGGGTAGGCCGATGAGCACATAAGTGAATGAAGAGGAGAAACACTTTTAAACACAAAAAAGTAGAAAAAATTGACCATAAATGTTGACCAGTTAGTTAATTTAAACAACTACATAAACATTACTGAATATGTTAAGGTGTAAAATCTGGCAAGGTTGTAACAGCCTCTGTAACCGGTTATTCTCTTGTAACCGTAGCCATTACATGCGGTTACAACTGTAACAGGTCACTGTAATCCCTTGGGGAAACATTGATGTGCATCACTTCCCTACAGTACTGTAACAACACTCAATACCGACACTCCACAGCCACGATTCAAAATATTGTCACATAAAAGAGAAACCAGAATGAATTAAGCCTTTTATTGCATCAAACGGAAATATCTATCTGAACAAAGTGTTTGAAGATCAATTGTCCGCCCACTTGATGGCATTAAATCTAATTCCATTGTTAATTAATGCTCAACTAGTGTAATTGCATTAATGGACAACTATTGGAACCTAAACACACTTCAATTAGTATACCGAGAGGTGGTTTTAACTTAACCAAACCATACTACTAGTAGTTGGAGTCGTTCATGGAAATTAATAACTTTTTACCAACTTAGTATCTATTTATATTAAGTATGGAGTTACAATTTCTCTGTCTGTCTTTCTGTACCCGAGTGCCGCTGAACACATGTATTTTCCCTGGCCTTCAGTGGCACTCTCAGATTGCTAAGGGTATACCATTTTTTCAGGCATTACTATCATGGTTAACTAAATTTAAATGTATTCCTTATATGGGAAATTCACAGTAATACCTTCATCAAGGATATTTAATTGAATTAGGATTTATGAGGTAATAGAACCATCAGTTTACAGTACATATTGAATAATTAATTAATAAGCTAATCTTAGTCAGTAACAAAGCTGATCGGTCATCTCACTCATCTACCATCACTCTACACTCACACCCTTCCTCATTTGTGTCCAAATACTGTACACACCTAAGTGGCATCCCCATCTCAGATAATGATAATGATAATAAAGATACACTTTGGATACTGAAATTTGAAAGGGTTATAATATTTCTTCAAATGTTTCTTGTTAGTAAAATATATTACATTTTTGTCATAATGGCATGATAGATAGGTGAATTAACCTGCTAAATCCCATTAGTAATCAATGTGGGACTCACAGATGGTTTTTAATTAACTTCAAAACTCACAGGTCAATGAATATTTAACAAGTTGAAATTAGAACCGAGGAAGAAGGAAAGTTAGCAGCAAAGGGATTGTTGAAATTCTTCACATAACAATCTCACCAACTCTGGCAGAGGGAACAAAAGTCTGCAAATTCACTTAGCTTCTCAGCACTTGGAAACTTGTCTACGGAACTACCAGAAAGTGCTCAGACACTTAAGAAGTGGAGTCAAAACTTTAAAAACTAGCTAATACCACAAGAACATTAAATCTACTATTTCAACTTCTGTCAGAATTTTGATTACAATTATTAATATTTCAACCACAACAATATAGAACGTTAGTCAACCTGAGCTGATACTAACCTCGAGGTAAATCTCGCTGTCCGGCGCAAATGTTGAGTTGACCAGGTGTAAACTGATATTCAGATGAGGCAATGTATGGAAGAACTTGGCCAGTGGCGGGGCCGTGTAGTTGGGCGGGTCCAGCCCGGTGTGCGGGGCCATCCTCAGACCATCTCCTGCAACACAACAACCAAGGTTCACAACACGCTGAGGGTTGCATCAGAGTAGTGAGAATGTGCGAGTGAAATTTTATTTTGCAATACCATTGTTGTCCTGGTAACTATTGGAGGATGAAGTGAGGACCAATAGCTGAACAGAGTCTCAGAGTCAATATTGGCTATGATAGACAATGATTGCCCTTTCATGGTTATCCCTGGTGGATTGCACATACTTCAGTATGAGCAAAGCTGTACTTCAATGGCTTAGTGGATCTAATTTTTTAGACGTTATATTAAAAAATAAATAAAGTTAAAACACAACTATATATTAATGGGAGGTTTTACAACTTGATTTATCTCTGGCGATTGGCTTGAGTAGCTATAAAATAAGAATGGTTGGTTCAATAGATACCAAAGTATAATGAGCAAAGCTCACATTACAGTTCATTCTTTGATGACATTGTACAATGCAATATATTCTTTTCAGCAGAACATAAAGCTGGTGGTCGAAATATACTTAGTGATTATCAAATATTTGGTCAATTATTCTATTTTTTAAAACCTACAAATTCTGATGACAAGTTTTAGGGTGGTAACATTTAAAGTTAAAATGCACATAGTTCAACCGATAAAACCATAACAATTCTTAAAAGGGAGGCTGAAGTTAGTGTATTTATTACACAAGTAACAATCCAAGGATACTGTATTCTCATTTGAAAAAACTACCGAAATCCACTGCATCGGAATTGTAAGAAACAGTCACACTCTTCCAGGAAAGTTGACTCTTAAAGAGCGGAAATGTTAAAACTTGAGAGTGCCGTAAACCGTTCTTTTGTTATAAACATAAACTTGAGCAGAGAACAGTTCACAGTTCGGAAATGCGGGGAAACTTTCAGCAGGAAATTATATTATAAAGCTACTGAAAATTCCAGTTTAGTGTGTCATGATTCTCATTTATTTTTAATTAACTCTTCACGAAGGAAATGAAAGAAACTTCTCACCACTTGGTGTTGATGGGGTGACTTTCTTCAAAGAGAAAATTGAACTTGTTATCTTACAGTCTTAAAATAATTATTTCCACATTCACATTATTAATTATTACTACTTAGCGATGTCATTTTTATTTGAGTTGTTTAAAATATGTTGGCTACAAAATCTAAGCATAGACATGTTTTCTTTTTGATTTTTATATATATTTATGACCTAGTATTAGTTAAGCATCTGGTTAAATAACATGGAGCTAAATTTTGGTTTGGATAAAGGAATAAGTCTATTAATGATTTGTTGCATAAATTAAACATGGGAACTTTTGTATTCAATTGGGAGATATAAATATCTCTAGAGAGAGATATATTTATATCTAGTAATTAAATTGATTAAATTGTTAAATTGATTAAATAGAGTAATTAGGTAAATGTATATTTCACTTGAAAACAGGACGAGTTCTCTTACATCCAAAATGTAGTGTAGTCAAAAGACCAAAATTAAAAAAAGGTTTGAACAGTTGAATTTCCAAGTGGATATTAGTTTCCATTGAACAACAAGTAGAAAGTCCAACACCAATATCATGTTTTCTGGCTTAAGTCAACTCAAACTCTTTTCAGTGAAATACACATTAAAGATATAAGCCAAATAATCTTACAAACACAAAGAGCAAAGCTTTTCAAAATATATAAAAAACTAATTTCCGTAACAATTAATAGACAAGTTTTAATAAAGTAAAAACAAAGACAATACCGGTAGTGAAGCATGACAAACATACCTATGGTAAAAACGATGTTAAAAAAACATATTACAAATTTTGAAAATGACAACTGTAAATTTTGAAAAAGATTTGTTTCTTTTACACCCAAAGAAATAGAAAAGAAACTTGACTTACACCTAGTCAATTGATAATTAGTTGCTACTGCCATATTCTTAATAAAGCACCAAGTAGTTGTGTTACACATTTAAGCAGAAATTTTCAAACTAAGGTAAAACAAAAACTACCCCCATGGAAAAATAAATTGTGTGTTAAAATGTGATTTTCCACCAAGCCATAACAACTTATATAAGAGGTGAAACAATTATCCGAATCAATGGAGTGAAACTAAATAAAAACTCAAACAGTCAGGAGTCCCTTGATGAAACAACCAGTGATACGAATGAACGATGAATCACAACAAACGGATGAGCAATGAATCAAAACAAAAAGATTAGCGAACAAACAAACAGAGCGACAAGGGACAACAGACGATATTGACAACTGACCACAACTTTGCAGCCCCTGATTGATGAACTTCACAGCAGCACAGTGGTGAATAATGTAGTGGAAATGAGGGCAACTAGGACTGCTGATTAAGTTAAATTACTAAACTATGCATCAGACAATATATTATAGACTAGTATACCAGTGTTTTCATTCTAGCATTGAGTATAATGTACAAATTTACGCGTATACTCAATGATTCTGATAATAGATTAGAGATCAGAGCTATACGTCAAATCATTTCTACTCGTAACACTATAGCGATTTAAATAAATATCTACAATAATTTATCTATTTAAAAACTAATCATAAGTTTTAGATCATCAGCTATACACTTTATGATGGAACCTGAGGACTGGGCCAAAACAGTTCCAGGTAGGAAATAAGTTCCATCCTGCAGACTATATATTCCATAGCAAATGACTATAGAATTTAAACTTTGACAAAACTCCCTTATTGCTTTTCTCAACTATAAAAAGAGTGTGATTATTTCACATTTTTTGGTAGCGTGGGTGTTGATCAACTTTCTTTTTTTGTATGGAAGGTTTTATTGGATGTCTTTTATGTATCGATGGATAAATAAATTGAAACATTTTATATGTTAGCAATCAACAAACCTTCTCCGAATATTTTATTTAACCTTCCAGTATTACATATAAATTATTTTCTAAGCCTTGTCGCAAATTATTAACGTCAGTTGACACGATGATGCAAAAATCTACATTACTTTTAATCGAATGTACAATCAAAGGTTTCATCCAATTAAGATTTTAGTGTCAAGAAAACATAAAGAGAAAAATGTTACAAAATACATTTGTATGACATTCAAAATAAAGTTTTAAGGATAATTCTAAAATGTCCCTGGTATTTTCGAACCCGTCAAATACATTTAGAACTGGGAATAAAACCTATAGAAGATTTTATCAAGAAAGTTACATCAAAATTGTTTACAAAACTTCCATTAACCAGCAGCATTGGATTTTATAACACAGGCCAACCTTCTGAAATCCAGAGACTCCGATTAAAACCCAGATTGCCTCAAGATATTTTATTATAACCATTTTTTGTTTTCATTGATTTGTGTTTCATTGGTGGACAGTGCCTTTACAGTCCGACCCGCTAAAACAGTGACAATAAGTGCCTGAGGGGCTAAGCTGACCTCTATCCATGTTAATGTAATTAATAATGTTATTTTTGTCTTTCTTATATTATACCTAACCTGTATAGCAATGAAATGCTGATCGGTTAGTAAAATCTTAAAAAAAAAAAAAATGACATTCATTATTTTGTATACAGTATAACCAAACATACAATGGAAAATGTAATAAACCACAGCTGAAGATAAATTGATTACTGATTACAATTAGGGTTTTTCTCCTAACATTTTTTCTCGAAATATAGAAGTAGTTATAAGCCTTGTAGAGTATTAAAAATTAATAACAAACCCTAAGCTTAAAGAATTGAAAAACAAAAATTGAATAGGAGAATTGCTTGCAAAACAGATTGTTAACAACTAAATCAATACTTCTTAACAAGATCTACAGTAAGCTTTAAGAGCTCTTCAAACAATTCAGATTCTTAAAGTTTGGTTTTATATTATCGATAACCGGGAAAAATAAAAGTTCCAACTAGCTAAGTTCCAGTTTCCCCATCTTTTTATTATCTAAATTGATGATGGAACATTTTACAGCCCAACTTGGGCCAACTCGGCTATTCACTTCAGAAGATACTCTCTCGCTTTATTAGATTAAATTTTTCATAGCTGAGTTTTTGTTAAAACTATGTATTGTTTTTACAAATTGATTACTTGAAATCGTATGACTTGTATGTTTAGGTCATATGTATGTTATGACGATGATTACAAGTTTTTTTGCAAAATACCATCTATCATTGAATAGCTGAGTGGTTGTAGTGCTAGCCTTCTTAATCAGAAAGTCTTAAGTTCCATCCGGAGAAAAGTCAGTACCTTTTTGATAGTTTGAAACAGCTGACTTTGATCATTTGAATTTTAACAAACAGTCATTGCTAAACAAACAATTGATTGATCTTGGTTATCGAAAACGTTTAACACTGTACAAGACAATACTTAGAAGCATAGACAAACATAATCAAATATAGACTGTCAGCTGTGATGTGGTTACCATAGGTTCGTGGGCTACGCACCACGTAACTACATGGTGCTCCCAGTGGTGTGCGCCAGAACCAACTAGCGTCTAGACTGCCAGTGCAACTCCGAGGATCGTGGATCAGAGATCAGAGGTGCTGTGCAGCGCTGTGGCACCACCGCACTATGTCGTACGCTTCCAAATCATTCCGGCTCATCAGCATAGCCTATCTAACTGTTCGCGGAAAATTGTTATCTCTATCACTGACGCTGTCAAAACGTATAATTTGTAGGTTAAATTTAAATTAAATATAATTAAACTGCCATAACCTAACCAAACTAGCTGATAATGATAAACTCAAATGAAGGTTTACTAATCGAAAAAATAGCTCTGTTCTAGAAATAAAATTATAAATGTCTCAAATTCAATTTTATAATTTTTTAATTATAAAATTAAACTGTCATAACCTAACCAAACCAACCAAACTTGCTGATATGAAAAAAATTGTTGACAAAAAAGTTAGTGCTACCAGCGGGATTCGAACCCGGCACTTTCAGATTATCAGCCCGACACGCTATCCACTACACCACCAAGGCTCATGACTCAGCTCCGTATCGTTGTGGTAATGGTTGACGTCACGCCATCGGCACGGAGCGGTGGTGGGG